AAATAATTTACCTCGACGACCACGGCTGCTGTAACGTAGCCGAAACGTCGAGGTAAATTAATTGTTTTTAAAAAATGCACGAACAAGACCCGATTGCATATAATTATAATATTAAGTCATTTCCTGGCTTGAAACTATCTTTATACCAAATCTTATCATAATCGGCCTAGCGGTTACGCCATGAAAACATATTACACGCAGTTATTCTTCACAATAAAATATTTAAAATTTCAAGCTTTTGTATGGGATAAATTTATTTACACCCTTTAATTTTACAGGTCTGTTTGTCAATTTTGAACGGTCAATTTGCCAATTTTTTGCGACATCTGCTGGCAATCATCAAGAATGAATTCACAATGTGTACCTAGAGCGATATTAAAAAAATTATATTAATATATTATTTACTTTTGTATTATTATAACGAGAATATTATAACCAAAGTATAATATTTTGAGTTATTTGAATTGGTAAAAATGACATTGAATCTACATATAAAGAGAACAATCAGTAAATAAACTTGATAAAACATGAATGGACGCTTGCAGTTGCATGGGATGCGGTTGTCACATTCTGCGACCGCAACGGGTCAGTGACACAACGAGTACTTAATGTGTATAAACCGCGAAGGTAGGGTTGCCATAAAATGTTTTTTGAAAATTTATTGTATTGTTTACTAATTTTAATATCTTTTAACATTGTTAACATTATTTTAGACGAGTTTAATATGTAAAATATTCCCTAAACGACACGGAGATAATAAAAAATAGTCATGTATCCGTGTTGAGTTATACTACGAGTATATTACAGTTTATTTTTTATCATGCACAAATTTTTTATTTGGTATTTTAGGTTAAAATAAATGCTAGTGCAAAGATAAGAAATAAAGTATAATTGTAAAATCTTGCCAATTTAGCAAACTAATCAGATTCTGTAATCTATGACTAGTCATAGATATAATATTTTTACGCAAGTCTTACATATCATACAATTTAAACTTGTTACATAAATCAACAAATTACGAACCGTTTTATAAATAAAAAAAAACTAATCAAAGAAAAAAATAAAAACCAAATATTGCTAACCCTACGACGGCAAGGTCGTTATGCGTCGAAAACTTTAAATAATCCGGATAACCAATATAGCACCGGATACAAGGTCGAAATTTCTCAGCACCTAAGATTTCTTATTTTTCTATTTATTTATATAAATAAATGTATACCAGATTTAATATCATAATGGTTTCATTTATTGTTTTAGTCGATGTTCTAATATAATTATTATATGTATTATTCAATTTTGCATTCACAGCGCTACACTGAAAAATATTCTAAATGAAAAATGCTTAAAAAATCCACTTTATTTCTGGCACTCTGAGATAGAACTCGAACCCATGATCTAGTTATATTTTACTATCATTTACACAGTGAACGCAAAAACAGTGAGGTCATTTCATATTTCGGTTTTGAACTGGTAAATGGTTTGTTCCAAAAAACAATAATATTAGCTGTGTTTATTAATATTAGATAGAGGAACATAAAAAAGAACATCAAATGCATTTAGGTACATCAGGATTCGCTATATTGAAATTTTTTTATAGTAAAGCTACTTAATTCCAGACGGTTTGCCGATATTTGTCATTTTAATGTAAACTGATATACTGATACATTTGTACTACAGATGTCTCTGTGGTCACGTAGGTCATGATAAAAGGTTGTTACCAAAGAATTATGATTTTATTTAGAAATCCACGTGTCCGAAACAGAGGACAATATTTTTTGTTAGGATTTTAATATGTTCTACATTGCGTAACTAAATATAATAGTCTAACTAAGTCAGAGTAATAGACAATTGTCATGGCTTATTAGCTGACATTTGTGTTTTTTTTCTATGGAGGAAATTTCATTTGATATTTCAAATAAAAAGAAGAAAGCTTTTTTTGAGGGAAAGGTGGCGAATTTTAATTTTATCCTAGTATTTATCTTATTCATTCAAAACACATGGATTCTCTAACGTTTTCCAATATAATTTTTTCTCATATTCATGTAAGTTGTTATGAAATATACTTTTAAAGTTTAAGTTAAGTTTAAGACATACCTTGGCTTGTTAGACCGGTTTTGATGTAAGCGTGTAGGTAATATAACGCAAGACTTTACAGAACTGCAATGTGCAATATGCACCTGTTTCGTTTCAATATACGATACATTGTTTGTATTGAGGAAATTAAATACTTTTGCTAAACTTTCCAATATTTTTAAGGCAGATCTGCTTATTTAATTTCTTTTTTTTATAAATAGTGTATCTGATATGTTTCTCTTTTAATTCCTTTTATTTTGAAGGCAAATCGGCAGGAAAAATATTACCATTGGCTGTCTCTTAGTTGAAAATATCCAGTAATATTGTCATTAATATGTATTCCGACCTGATCATGTCAAAAACCTGTTTTTGTCTTCGATTTATATTCCGGAAAGAGATAAAGAAAACTTGGTATAAATAATTTGTCTCTACCTGTCATAAAAATAAAATTACCTGATTTTCGGGTATTTTATTCGATAATTATTGGCAACGACTTAAGTTATTAAGCTAACGATACGAGGGTAAGGTAGATACCACAGTAACAAATGGTGAAATCACATTACAAAGGTATGCAGATTTCCATACGCAACGGATATCCTGCAAATTATACATAGATATGGATACAAATATACTATAATACGAATAGGAAATACAACTACTTTTTAAAAATAAGATATTCAATATATATCTTCATTTAAATCAATTTTACTAATAAATGGAGAATGTTTGCTTCTGCATGTATAAGCATTTTGTAATGAAATCAGCCTGGAATAATAAAAACAGTCGAGCATAGCTCTGTCACCATGTATTATTATTGGCATATTGTTGAGATTGTTAGTTAAAATATCAGTGCAGTAAGCCACGCTTACCGCATTCTTTTCGCTCATTCTTTCAGTCTCATTATTATTTCAGTGTCTTCATTATGTTTCTTTTTTCTTTTTTGGTGTTATTTTTATCATTTTTCTGTCCTATTTATAAAGTGTATGTAAATTGAGTATGTGATGTGTGTTGAACAATAAAAACCTATTCTATTCTATATAACATACCTGTTCGATGAATTCTGGATTCGCCGTGTAACCATAACCAATGAAAATCATAGAATGTAGACCGAGGATCATCACCATTGTGTAAAATCTGAAACAAAATACTTTACTATATTTATCATATTAATAAGACCACAATTTGGCGTCACTGGAAAATTATCCTGCCAGTTCTATCCCTTCACAATTGCTACTTAACAATAAATTATCTTGTACCCATGACTAGTTTTTATCCAAACATATTGTATTCTTGGTATTTTTGGAAAAAATATCACTATTTCCTTATTAAAAGTCTCAACAAATCTCTACCTCGAGTTTGATCGTAATCAGCGCAGCAGCTTGCTTGTGAAAGCATAATGAATAAGACGTTAGAATTTTGAATTACGGAGATGACTATATTGAAAAAGTTAATAATTATTTTGTCTACCTCTTCATTTGAAGAACTAACTTAAAAGAACAATTAACCCATGCGTATCTAATTACATATAACTAAATAGTAAAACTTCATGATGTAAAAACTTTTTTTCAAAAAATTTAATCGACTTCAAAGTTTAAAAACGGATAAATAATACAAATCTCAAAAGCGACTTATTCAAGAAAATGCTATTGAAGTAGAGCGCTTATCATTTAATTATTAACCTAGAGAAGGCCTCCTCCCGAGATAAGTGTTATTTACCACTATTTTATAGTTTGTAGGTTCCATTGGATGAAAAAGTTTTTATCTCATGCTTATTCGTGATAAATTATTTTTTTTTATAAAAGGTAACACTAAAAATATTAAATATCTATATAAATAACAATAGTCAATATAGTGAAAGTCTTAGAATATTTTGTTTATTTGCTCGACATAATTTCTTTCAATAATCTTAAATCATAAAATGAGGGAAAGATTTGATTGTTTGTTTGTATGCATTGGATAGGCTCCGATACTACTGGACTGATTTACAAAAGTTTTCATCTACGGGAAACTACATAATATGCAGTGAACATAGGTTATAATTTACGCAGGCGAAATCCTCGGTAAACAATTAGTTTGATAGCAATTGGTACATAATCAGGAAGAAATCGACGAATATACCTATTTTGAACTATAGGTCAGTTGCACAAACGACCGTTAAGGTTTAATGACGTTTTGAAGCTCTAATGAGGGTCAAATTTGAATGGGTAATGTCCCTTTAAACTAATAATAATTTTAATGGAAGTTTGTGCAACTGACCGTTTATCTCTTTGAACAAGGAACATCCTCCTTTCGGATTTTGAATGAATTCAAAATACGCTGTCTTTTGTTTTTTTAGTTGAAATGAGCCATGTCATAACATATCATCTAAATATTTAGGTTATATCTGGTGAAGAGCTTATTTTGTTTTGTTATTATAAGAAAAACAACTGATTCGATTTCGATAAAATTTAAATGGGACCACCACAGCCTATCAAGCTGTCGAATAAAAAAAAAAGAATTTTGAAAATCGGTCGAAAATTGGCGGACATAAAAAAACATACATTGCCGTCAAACATATTTTAAAGCCGGTTAAAAACCAATGGACATAATAGAAAGATCATCTCAACACAAATAAATAAATAGTAAAACCTATTACCTAAATTAAATTTACAACATAAAAATAAGTTATCATAATATCTAAAATAAGGGTATTTATAATAAAAACTATTAATTTAAATGTCCTATAAATGTAAACATTAACAAAATCCACTTTGCTTGATGTGAATTGTTGTGACAGTGAATAACCTTCCACAGAGTACTGATATAACAAACATGAGGAATAACATGTATACCTAGAGTCTCTTCCGTTCCTTTCACTACTAAAAAGCAGTTAACATTTAAACGCCAACTCTTAAAAATGGAATCATAATAAATACTTAAAAAGATTTCTATTCAAGTCCTATTTTTGCATACCTCAAAGCTTGGAAACATTTGAAGATGCCCCCTTCAGCGCTTCCTCCATATTTGAGCGCTTTCCAATTCTTTTGAATGCAAAATGCCAACATGTATTGGTTCACTAAAAAAATATATGAATATGAAAAACAAACTTTTACCACCCACATAATTTCATTCAAGCTACTACAATTAAGTTTATAATAGATTGATTGATCTTTTGAAAATATAGAATCTGAAATACTCTCTGTGCACACAACCTTTATTATTTGTATATATTTAATAATAAGTAGTTTTATTGCACAAAGTTATTCATATAAAATAGAACAAACTTTTAAAAGTGAAAGATAATACTTTATCTCAAACGCGGCTTATTCAAGAAAATGCTATTCAATTGGCTTGAAGTCACGCGGACAAAGTCTCGGTAAACAGCATTTAATATTTGAAATTGTGAAAAATTTACGACTTGAATCTTTTAATTTTACTCTGTGTTTAAGAGAAACAAAAATATGTTATTGTAAACACCCAAATATGAAAAAGTAATTGTTTCAAGGGAAACAACAATTCTGTCAATGTTACATTATTAAACCATTAATACAGTTAACTTTGGAAAATTTGTGGTTTTTCAATGGCGTTTAAATTAATTGCATATTGTTATTGCTATTTGGGGTTAATTAAACACAAACATACTCGAACATTAGCGTTTAATAAATGCACCGCTGATATATATCTTAGGATGTAGTAACTAGTCCCAAGACTCAAAAATAAGTAGATGTTATTGAATCACTGTAAAGGCAAATATACTGTAAAGGCCAAATTAAAGAATTTTGGAATTCTTTGTTTTGAATACCTTCATACAATAACTCAAACGCCAGTACTAATCCAATTGTAAGAACTATAATGTACCTTGTTTTGTTTGTGGTGGCCAGAAGAAGTAATGGGTAGAACATCCTAAGTTGAGAAATAAAACGAGTAAAATAATAGATCCGATAATATAATCTAATGTGTCTACTGGAATATAATCGCCTTGGGTTTTGCAGTATCTGACCGACATGGTATCCACCTGTGGAAGATATATATTGTATGAATATACTATTAAATTAATAGAGATTTCAATTACGTTGCATTTGCTGAACACAAATAACAACATTACTTGGTAATTTTTACCTTAGCAGTTCCTGCATCGGGGAAAAACTATTAAATCTTGACAAAGGTTATTACGTTTATATTTTATAATAAAAATATAATGAAATATTAGAATATATTAGAACGTGCAATCTTTTTTCGAGTAAGTTTTTTTACCTATTTAAAAATTTCTATGATAAAATTGTTTCGTTTTTGCATGCCATCTTGTCGGCATCTTAACTTTAAGGTAACACTAAAAATATTTATGTGATCTCTAGCGAACTGTTTATTTGGATATCGATTCATATCATATCACGATAACACGGATATGATTACAATTACAAATTGAATAGTAAACAAACTTTATTATGGTAACGTTTTCATTCCCTATAAAATTTCAACTCCATTTTTATCCCTTTATTTGCTGTTTAACGGGATAAAACATAGCTTATGTTTCACCGCATAGGTGTAGCTTCCTGTAGGTGAAAGGACTTTTAAAATGGAGTTTCAAAGCCTATGCATTGCTGATAAACAAACAATCAAGTTATCAAATCTTTCCTTTTTATACTACTAGTACAGATATAAATAATAATATTCAACATAATGAAAGTTTTAGAAAAGAAGAGTTTGTTTATTTGCTGGACATATTTTTTTCCAATACTTAAAATTCTATTCTATACTCATATTATAAAAAGGAAAGATTTGATTGTTTATTGTTTCTATTGGATATGCTCAGAAAGAAACTATTGATTCGATTTATAAAAGTTATCTACGGGAAGCTACACAAAAAGCGTTTGACATAGGCTGTAATTTACGCAGGCGAAGTCGTGGGAAAACAACTAGTTTGATAGAAAATGGTTCACAATTCAAGAAGAAATCAGGTGTCGGTAAAATCGGTAAAATTTAAATGGGATTAACTCGGTCCATTAAACTGTCGAATAAAAACAGAATTTAAAAAATCGGTCAATAATTGGCGGAAATATCGGTATATAAAAAGAAAAACATAACGCCGTCGAACGCATAACCTCCTCCTTTTGGATTTTGAAGTCGGTTATAAATTTCTTCCCAAAAAAACTGTTTTACATTACAATTAGATTTAACCTGTAATCCATATTGTTGATATATGCTCGTATTGAAGCATTCCTTCAAAGCTCCAACAGTCATCTCATTAGCATCAGCATGGCTTACATTCAAGCCACACGATTTAGACGCACAAACGCCTCGATGTAACTTAGAGTGCTTATAATTGGTATACGACATCGATGAGAAGTTCTGAAAAGAAAGGAGTCCTCAATTATGCAAATATTAATATTTTGAAGAGTAGTCAATGGAGAAAGATCATACACGCTATTTTTCTTTTTAAAAAAGGCCATAGTTTTGGTCCCATTATAAATCTTAAGGTAAGGTATTGTAATCTTAAGGTTAAACTTAATCTTAAATAAAGTAGAAGTGGGAGATTTATGAATTAAGTGATACTGAAAATATTAAGTTCAAACGTCGAAGTGAAAATTGAATTGAAAGTGGAATATAACCAAACATTCAATAATGTAACGTCACAATTGACGCTAGAACAATCAACATACTGAATATCTGAATAAAATTCATGTGAAGGGTGTCAATAGCCATCGAAATGAAGACGAAAATTTTGCCGCAGGCTTCAATCCAATCTTGCGGTTGCTCTAACAGATAGATGATTGAGACGTTCACTTAGTAGCGTGAATTACATAAATACTGCTTTTTCTTTATTTGTGTAAGTCTCATATCTGCATTGAATTACGCCACAAAATCTGATTCAATAGTTTTACATTCTTATACATGGAAAATACTAAATAAAATTAAAATTAGTAAAATGTAATTTTAAAATTATTTTTTATTTTTATATATGAGGAGTTCGATGGCGCAGTGGTTAGCACGCTCGGTCTGCGATATGGTTGTTGAGTAAGTGTCATAAGACAAGTTAAAGTCCATTCTTCTCAATCGATTTGATACGATTCCTCTTCTTCCATTCGATTCTGGTGATGATGGTTGCATTTCAATGATTTGTGACTTAACATGTTAAAATATTCCCTCGTGTTCCTTACCTTTATGTACTGGTACAGCGGTGAATCATCTTCCATCAGAACAAAGTCTACTATGCAGTAGACAGATTCTGGTTCTCTGAGGCAGAGGTCAAAGTCGTCTAGCTCGGACAGAGCTGGCATCGAGTAGTAGTCAATTTCGGGAGGTTCATCTGATAAATAACAATTATTTTTTGTTTCATTAATTAAGTATTAACGTTTGCAATTAACAAAGATTTTTAAGGTATAAATATTTTTTACTAGATTTTATAAATAGGGTTTCGGAGAGTAGTATGTCCGTATTACGTATTAGAATGACTTTAACACGATGAAGGTTAAATACTTTATACGGATTACCTATGTTTATGTATGGGTAGTGGCAGACAATAATTTCCTTGCTTAAAATGCTCTTTTTATTTTTTTTACAATTAGAACTTGTATCCTTTATCGACTAACAGCCGGTCTATAATTAACTTATACCTAAACATCATTTAAACAGGTTTTCGTGTCTGGTTTTAGATATTTAATGATCAGTTCTTCATCATAGCATCATGTTTAATGATAGCAGTTCATAAAAACTAGGACTTTTTGGCCTGTGAAAAGTAAAAGAGAGAAAATCAGTTGAGATTTTGTACTTTTCCCAATTCAGAACCCGTCCATTAGTCTTATTAAGTCTTTATTAATTCAGTTTAGCAATAGTTCTATTTTACAAATTGACAAAAATATTTTTTAGGAACGAAATTTATATTTATAAGCCATTTTGAATTAGGTAATTAAGATTTTCTTATATTCATAACAGAATTTCTAGCATTTTAACACGTGTTGTCCGAGATAGACCCCATTTTTGTAATAATATATAATGCTCACTAGAACAACAGTATATAACAGTTTATATAACAACACAACTACAGTTTACCAATACTTCGCTTACATCTCTATTCTTACCATCTCTTCCTTCTTCCTTTAATTAATTCTGTTCTATTTTTATACAATACAATATATTTCCTATTTCTTTTCCAATCCATATTTGCTAACTTCGATATTTATGTTAAAAATAAATTTAAAAAGGCATGAAATTCCCACAAATTAAGTAAAATTAAATATAAACATCATAGAGCATCATAGATTTGCTTAATTTCCTCTCTTTTAGTAAGTAATAAGCGAACGATATTTGCCTATAAACATTGTTTAAGTTTGTTTTGCACGAAAGTATGTATTTAGCAGTAAATACCGAAGTTTAATATTTATATACAGTTTGCGTGTACGCTTTCCGCAATATCCTGTATACAGTAATATCCAATAAATATGTACTTTTCTTTGGACATGCGTTTGTGTAAGACTGTGAAATTGACGGGGGCACGGAGAAGGCAGAAGCGGAGGCGGGAAAGTGCTCGATGAATAAGTAAGTACTAATTAAAAGTAGATTATGTCATTGGGATGGGATATTAATTGTATAAGATTTTTGTGGGTCCCATCTAATGACTTATTTACATTGGTTAACTTTGTCCGTATATGGGCAGCGGACGAGTTTTATTGTTAAGTCGTGAGTGTACTTTATAAAAACATGTACTGTAGCAAAACCCAATATTTAAACTGTAATAATATATTATTTTTTGTATTATATGGATATGAAAAAAAATCCTGCAGTGAACGCAAAAATTGCTGACGACGCTGTTAGCAGCTGACGTTTCCACTGATCTGTAAAGTTATACTATTTTATAAAAAAAATGGGTGTTACTTTTTTAACCATACAATTGTTTTTATATAATTATGCAGTCGCTGGGGTTGTAAGACAACACTGCTCTTATATTTTTACTCTTGTATTTAATGGATAATATTTAGAATTTAACAAAGAATGTGTAATTAGTAAATTTCGTACATTTCTAAATAAAATTTATTTTTCATTTTTTTATCATGTTTTCATATTTCATTATTCCCAGATACATCTGGTTCGGATGCAAAATTCGCTACACTTATCGCTCCGTATATCACTATTATATTCATTTAAAACATGGCGGTATTGCAAACATGTTAACGCATTTTTGTTATTATAACAAGTTTGTTTTATGTTTAATATTGTAAGTTTACTATAGGGTGTTTTGGAGTTATCATGAAAGCAGGACAATTCCGAAAATGTCATTAAGCAAGCAAAATGTTTGTTCTATCTAATTAAAAGTTTATTTATATGTCAACTTTACCAACAGTTGATAAAAAACAAATGATTGATCTTGTAGTAATTCATTTTCAAAAACAATCCGCTTTAGGTATTACACCAAAGCACTTAGGAAGTTCTCGATGTCGCAGCGGTTGTCAAGCAACTTTCGCAATGGGTGGTCATTTCGAACTTCTCTGTGCTTCAGGCAAGTTAAACCATTGGTCCCGGTTATATCTGCAGGCATTAATACCCACCACATTGCACCGGGCCAACGTAGTGGGTGGTGACATATTCTCCCTATACGATTCGAGTATACAAGTCTACAGTGGAGAAGTGATTCAGAAATGAGCACAGGAAAGAAGGAAAACAGTGAAATGGTCATATGAAATCACCATAGAGTTCTGATTCGCACCTAACAAAACTTTTTTTAATGAATGTTTAAATAACAAAAAATATAACAGGCGATTCTTTGTGAAGCGGATCTAGTTAACTGTGCCAAATTCCATATTTCTCTGTTTGAAGGGACACAATTTTTTTTTCCTTGACCTATTAATAAATTATTATTTATCTATAGATTTTAAATTTGAGAAATTTATGAGTAAACAACAAAGAATTCTAGGAGGAATTACAAATTTTACATTTTAAAATAAGAATTATTCAACATTACGTCAAACCTATATTTGTATTTACAAAAATATTGTTTAAAAAATAAAAAAGAAAAATATATAATATAAACGGATATATTAATTAACACTTAATACGAACTAAATAAGTAAAAAAAAATCCCCAGTCATCCTTATGATAACCTTGAAAAGCTGATCATTTTTGGTAATAACGGAAAATGTGATTATGAGACCGGTCACTAACACGATGGCCTGACCAAGTGAATGGAGCTACTTCACTATCTGAGTACCACGAAGTGGCGAGAGTTGCTTCCGACCGGAATCAATGGAGAAGGATTTTTCGTTTCTCAAGTTTCAGTAACTACGACCCTAAGTAGAGAGGAACTGACTAGGGATATACTCCATTCAAAATGTATGATGTGGGCAGGATAAAAAGCAATTGGTTAATTTGCTGTTCCTTTCCATTTAATAGTATAGCAGAAGATTCAGTAAAGAAGAAAAGAAAATATATTAATTTAACACGTCATGAGTATAGTATTTACGCGACCAGTCATCAAGGTCCAAGCCTCATACAAATATAACAACATAATATTGTTGCGCCAAATTCGGCTACATGAAAATTTTCCGAGGAACATAAAGGTAGTCGTGGAAATTCCATACAATTATTACGACATGTAACTAAGTAAAGGTATATTTTCATAACTCCTTATTTATTGCGAATTTGAAGTAATCGATTATAGAAAACGATGAAAAGAACTGCATTAAAAAGTCAAAATCGCCAAAAGTGTCGATAAATGGTCCTAGTTCTTAAGCGTCGATATTGTACTACCTTTCCCTCAATTTTTCTATTTATTTTTTCATTTTAGACCAGGAGTTTTTGAGTTGATCCATTATAAATACGAAAAAATGTTAATTAACCCGGCATTTACAATTATTATCATATAAATAGATCAAATTAATATTTATTGAATGAGTAAATATGCTGAAAAAATGACTTATACAGTCACTGGATGTAACTGTATTTTATTTTCAGCCTTTATTTTTAGCTCTAAACATAGCGTTCTTTCTACAAAGCCGATATTCTGAGAAGACTAATTACAAATAAATATTCTTATTCTTCTCTTTATCACACATATTTATTTTTCAGATCTTAATTCTTTCAAGTATTTGTGACATTATGATGACAAACAATTGAGGTACCAAAATAGCTAGAAATAAAACATATTTTACATTAACATGAATAAGATTGAAATTTTAAAGATGGCGACATCTGTAGTAATTGAATTGCAACTTCTGGGTTAATCCGACCGGGAATCGATTCCAGAACCTCAGAGATGGAGACAACTTACAGATGCAGTTACAGAAAACGTTAACTAGAACATGAAATTCGATCACAAATAAGGATAATGAAAATTTATTTCTATAAACCAAACTTAATTCCAAAACAAATCTTTAGAGTTTATTTATTCGTATGGAGATCAGACAGGTTATTTTCGTAAGGACAAGCTAAGGATATTGCATTATGCCCTTATAAAACTGATTGCAATTCCAGCTTTGTAGACTCTGCTTAAAGAATAGTACCTACTTTTTATTCTAAATGTTAATGTTATAGAATAAAACATTAGTGTTATATACCGCCACAGATACATATAAACTATAGCACTGCATATTTTTAATTGATCTTTAAATTATCTTGAATAAAACTTCAAATGCTGGTTCGTTAGTTCAAAAGTACCCATATAATTGATATATTATGATTTCCATATAACTTAATCTAAACCAAACTAAGTATAAATTAAATCAATCGTTTTTATAATGCAGCTCTTATAAAATTAGAAAACTTTATAATTTTCCAATCCACATTCGGCCGCCCGTTGCTAAAGTAGGTCAAGTCAGAAAAAAATAAAAAAACTTACCATTCGTAATGTTGTCGCAAAAAGTTAATCCAAAGCAGAGCACTATACACAACCACCTCATTTTGCACGATTAACTATACTCGAACTACGAGAGACGATAGTCTGTTGTACACAACGGACAGCCTGTTCATTGCAACATTTAGAGGGGCAGAGCAATGTTGTTATTGAAAAGTGTGACTTTACTGGTTACTTACCTTTAATACGAGAAACTTCTGAGGTCCCTTTAAAAGTTATTAAAGTAATCTTATCTATACTAATAATAAAGCTGAAGAGTTTGTTTGTTTGTTTGTTAAAATTTCAGGAACTAATAGAACGAATTGAATTAATGTTTTAAATATGATGCTAATGTACTTTTAAAATGGGATTTTATTTGAATTATTGTTTTAAATATGATGTTACTGCATTTCCAATAACATAATTTAATGGGGAATTGTTATTCTGGCGTAATAATAAATGCTACAATTAGCTGTTTGGATAATGTTACTGTGTTTTAAAACTGTTTGACGGTTTGACTCAGAACTGTATGTAATAAATTGATTTTTATAATTTTACATTTACCATTTATTAGAATCAACTATTATAAGAGAAACTCATATGTTATATCTATAAAGATATTTAATAATAACATACCGGATGAACTAAAATTATTGGCCCAAAAATTATATAAATGTAGTTGAATATTAATTTATTTTTTTGTGCTTAAATAACGTGAAATGCTGTAAATAGCCTTTTTTTTTTAATGCATAAATGTGTTTTATTTGCAAAATAATTAGACTAAGAAACCGGTCAGGTGCGAGTACCGAAAACGAACAAAAATGGTGGCCGCCTTAAATATTTAAAAGTTTTTTGTATTTGTTATTATAGTGACAATAGAACTACATCATATATCAAAATGCATCTAACTATCACGATTCATTAGATATAACCTTGTAATAGCCAAAAATCACGTTCTTTGTATTATGAATGAGTCACAAATAAAATAAAAAATGTTGGAAAATTAATATAGATTTATTTCAAAATCAAGTTAAACTAAAAGAACTTTTACGAACGCAAGATCGTTTGGGTACTATATTACCCAAGGTCATTCTACGGAATTTTCTATTTGGATAAATGGCTATCTACGGCCGCGGTGATTTTAAATACTTTTTATCCCAAAATCCTGATAGCAACAGCATCTGAGCGTAACTGGTTTTATCTAGTTAAATTCTCATGATATGGATTGAAGTTTGAATTAAAAAGCAAAGTTGATCTTTCCCATTTCGGTTATGACTCAGTTTTCATCGAAGAAACAATCAATATGCATACTTATGATAGGACATAAGCTTAGAGTATTAAGTATATCAGTCAACTTGATGATTATGTAGAGAAGAAATTAAATAAAGCGTCCAAATAGTATTGCATAGTTTTATCATGTTCGTTTGTTTGTTTGATTGTCTGAAACTATGACAACAATCGAACTTAGTCACCCTTAACAATAGAAAGCTGTTGTATTATGCTTAATGTTTACACGTATAAATATAAAATGCCCTTTCTCACATCTAAAGTGTGGACGATTTTTCTCGTTTTGTAGTTGGCTGGTCGGTCTGATAATCCTATTTTACAAATACATTTTCATAGCTAAGTAGATTTAACAATTTATACATAAAACTAAAGACGGAACTAAAGAAATTTATTGACGCACATACAATTTATAAACATACAGTACTTAATTATAATATCCATGTACACGAGGAAATAATAAGAAAATGCGAGGCCAAGATGGACCCCTATTTCACTAAAAGCCCCAGTGCCATTTATGGATCGGCAGAATGATAAGAACATGAAAAATAAACTTTAAAGCGATCAAAGCAATATTTCATAAGAATTTCATTAAAAAAAAACGTAGATGACGATATAAAGATACAATACAATACAAGCATTCTATGCTTATTTAACTTGTTTTATTCATATACTTATTAAAGTATTGGATTACCAGTTTATATAAGACAATTTGACTTATTTATGCAATAAGACAAGCAGTTGATCGAAAATGTATACGTTTTAAGGATATACTTCAATTCTATAAAATATCTATCTTAGTTATAATCTAAAGTATGTACAATTTATAATAACATAAAAACAGCGTTAAAAGATTCAATGGTATATAAGGGAGGTGTGCAGGACTGTTATTCAGTTCCTTACTTTTCATTGGTTGGTTAATTTTTTAGTGATCCCAACGACCAGTGCAACGGAGCAATAACGCAATTTGTTTACTATAACAATCGTATCGATCCCCCTAATTACAGTGCTATTTATATATAAAATTACTTTTCTATAAAATTAACTGTCGTCACAAACATCATACCGCCATTTCATTAAAATAAAAAAAAAAACAGTTTTAGTCACTCCACTTGGTTTTAAACCTTAATGTTTTAAAAGTAGAGTTTAAAATTCGAAATGTTGTGGTAATCTGACGTGCAGCTGTGTGTACATAGCTTTATGTTTTTGAAAGAATTAGAAAACGAGGTCCTTAGTTTCTGAATTTATTCATACAAATACAATAAACCAAATAAATATATCAATCTAATAACCTAAAACTAAATTAAAAAAATATATAATAATAATATCTTTAACGAAAGTAAGTAGATTACCAAGTAACATTACTTTCTATACCTACCTAAGGCTTTAGTAACTATACAGTGATAAAAAAGATCTGTAATAGTAACCATTGTGACTGGTTGTACAACGGTTTTCAACAAAACGATTTAATTGTATAATGTTAAAAAGTATTTACGTTATTTTTTATAAAATCAGTGATAAAACTAGGGTCTATTTGGGGTTTAAAATATTATTATAAAACTGATTAGCACTCGATAAAATAAAAAGGTTTTTGACAATTTTGCTACTTGTATGTATTTCGAATCAAGGACCCATATCAGATAGTTACAAACATAAAAAACCAATTTTCTTTTCTTTTAATTATAATTTTGCATTTAAAATTTTAATCAAAAGTAAAAATATTAGTTTAATTGAATTTCAATCGAACGTCATTGCAACAAAAGGTTCTATTTCACAACTGTGCTCGTAACGCGATCGCGTCATTATGCTCCATCACCCGAAACTGTTGTTGCGTACAGATATTACGAAAACCGTTCTGTAGTAAAATCAACAATAAAAAAACCGCATGCACCATAGGATCTTATTAAATAATTTCAGAGACACTAAATTGGTAAGTAGTGTCGCCTAATGTGAAATGTGTATACGAGTACCAATTATAATTTTAACGAATGAGGTAAATCATTTTATATATTTTTAAAATATTTTTTTATAAATCATTTTAATGTTTTTTAATACATAGTTTAAATTTTTTTACTAATATTATTATTCTTTTTTAATAAATGTCAGAGATTATATGCCTCTTTAATATATTATTTATTACTATTTAATGTTCTTACTGTGATTGTGCATGTTTTTTTACATATTCGTGGAGTTGCAGCCTACGAAATTGTTTACTTTTTAATGCTCATTGAATAGTTTTTTGTTGTAACTCTGTCATGTGTAACAAAATAAATTATAAACTTATCTAAATCGGTCGAAAAATTACAGATAGCATTTCGTTTAACATTTCTCATTAGGTTTCAAACAGCCAGTCGAAGAAACGTTATAATTTGACATTCATTAGAGGTTAAAAGCGTCATTTAACCTTAATTGACGTTTGTGTTACTGACCAAAAGAATATTTAAATTTGGTGAGTACTGATATTTTTTATTTCAATATGCTCAGAGAGATAATTATAATTTGTAATTAAATTTGAAACGGATAGCTGCAATGAGCAAATTCTCATGCACAGTCAGTCCCAAAGATAAAAATAACTTGTAAGTAGAAGTAATTCGAAAGTAGGGATCAAGCATGACCCCAAGTTTAGTTATGCCCAGACGAAGTCAATCTTGGGCAACTTATAATTCCTTTTTTCCGCAACTACCTTATCATGTGTCTGCTCAGTTTGTAACTTTGGTATAGTGATGTGCAATATACGGTCAAGCGATTATTCAAAACGATAGATGTAATAAGTTTTGAAAAAAAAAAGTAATATTGTTCCAATATCATTTAATAAGTGTAAGAAAGTCGATGATATATTCTAGGAATCAATAATTAAATTATGTAGGGGATTATAAATATATATTTCTGTAATCATGTAATAGGTACACCTTTAAAATATCAGATGAGAATAAAGTAACACAAAATAATAACAGTGTTTTAAACTTAAAAATTAAAAAAAGCAGTTACGGAATAATAAGTTCAAAAACTATAATCCGACTACAGCTAAATCACGCTCTAAAAAGTTTGAAACAAGAAATTTATTTTATAGCGATAGGTATATTATAATAGTGATGATCAAAGCACAGCGTACTCGTACACATGATCAGTAGCTCTCTAGAGGGCGCTGTTAGCAATTTAATGTAACATCAAATAGCGGATAGTACGCAAACTAAGACGCTTCTAATGATACCTCATTAGTTCAGTAGATGAGTAGTTTCAAAGTTATAAGGGAACAAATTAATATTCTTACATACATACATACCGGCCAAAATCATAACCTTCCTTTTCGCTTCGCCGTAGTCGAGTAAAAACAGGTTTTATCTACACCTCCTCAAAACATTCTGTATGTACAAAACGATAATATTTTTAAAGTATCTACACACTAGCACCCTATCAACTAATTAAGCCTGTATACTACATAAAAAAAAAACATTAACCCTGAATTAGTCAGACATTTATACGGCCAGTTGTACAAACGTCCATTACGGTTTAATGACGACTTTAAGCTCTTATGAATGACCTAAATTTATAAGTTTGAATGGGTGATGAGGCATTAAAATAAATCACATTTTAATGGACATTTGTACAACTGGCAGATAGTGTCTCTGCTTAGGCAGTGACGTTATGAGTATACCTGCAGTTTGCTAAACTGATGTAATGAATGATACGTTGACTAGCTTTGTATACCTAAATATAGACTTAGGAATGATGTATAAATCAAAATACATTATGTGAGCGTGATGACTGTTACTTTTAGTAAGC